AAATTATAACCACGATTTGAAAAAATAAAATACATTAAGTGTTAAATTTAGAATATTTTTAAAATAAAAAAAATAAAATTTTAAAAGAAAGTTTGAACCAACCGTTCAAATTGGATCCAAAATCGTGAACCGACGGTTCAAAATAAAACTCAAATCGCGATTATATATACTTATATGTGAGAGTCAATATAAATGCGGAAAAAAACATGCACTATTTGCAAATATTATAATTCTAATTTAAGTTATTGCTAGTAGTTGTTCCGATTTGAACCTCCGGTTCACGGTTTAGGATCCATTTTTTTCCAGTTCACGATTTTAATAAACGGAAACCCAAATATTGGGTTATGTTATGAATCATAACCGGAATTTTTTAATTTGATTGCTATAGTGTTTGGTTCAGTTCGAACCGAACCGTGGTCATCCCTACGTATAAGCAATAATTTGGTGAAGAAGAGAAATAAATAAAATATTTGTTTTAAGGGTAGAAATGTCCATTTAATATTATCAGGGGAAAAAACCGCCACTTCTATAATAATTGAGGGGGCAAATGTGAATGCATGAATAACTCAGGGGGAAAAAGTGCTATAAGCATATAACACAGGGGGGAAAAAGTGCCATTTTCCCTTTATCTTATTTTATTTTTCATATTTATTACTCCGTATTTATTATGGAGTAGTTAATTTAACTATTCTTTTTTTAAATTTTTAAATATTTTCTTACAACTTCTAAATATAATTTTTTTTTATATTTAATTCTACTTGTATTTTTTGAATATATAAATATTAAATTTGTAAATAAGTTCATGTTAATTGAAAGTATTTAAGAGAGATGAATTATTTAACTTTTTCTTCTTTTGAACAGAAGTCATTATTCGTTAGGATCTCATCAGCACTCCGAAATTAGGCTTGCATGGGGAATAGTGGTACTATAGTGAGTTACCCTGGGGAATTGAAATCTTATTGTGCATCCATATAAAGGCTCTGTGTGGCAAAGTTAACTGAAAAGTTTTAAACTATGAGCTAAAAGTTGAAAAAAAGTTGAAAGTTGAAAAGTTATAAGTTCGGAATTGAAAAGTGAAGAGCTGTTAAGTTAGCTGTTATAACTAAAAGTGTTTAATAAAATTAGCTTTTTGATAAGTTGATAAATATAAAAAGATTAAAATGACATCTTCATAAAATTTAAATTAGTTTGTTTACATATTAAAATTTAATATTTTATCTTTAAAAAGAAATTAACATTTTGAAATAAAACTATTAACTTCTAAACCTATTTTGGAGTTCTAAAATTATAAAATTATTTTATTTTATTTTGGGATTCGTTTGAACTTTGAATGAAATTAATTTATATCCGTAGGGGTTGAAATCATTTTAATGCAACATAATTGTAATTATGTTGTATTCCTTATATAATTTTTCTTTTTCGTCCGATTAATAAAAAAATATTGAAGAGAATATTTATTAATATTTACTTCTCTATATACAATATTTAAACGCAAAAACATTAATTACAAAATTAATTTCACTTAGACTACATGTTGCCGCCAAATGCCTTGCATGTGATCGAGCAGCATAGCTGTAGCTTCTCAAATGAGGGGTCTCAGGTTTGTACCCAGTGTGGGAGCATTGACTCTTTGTGCTTCAGTAGGTTGAAAAAGTATGTATAAAGAAATACTACATTGTAATAGAGTTAATAGCATTCAAAAAAAGACGATCATGTCCTAAGAACAAAACTATATATGAACCAATTTCAATCTTACATCTGTAAAAATTGAACGGATCAAATCAAAATTTTTAAAAAATATGTAATGTCATTATTATATTTATTGTCAACTTTTTAAAAAAATGCGGTGACTTTATAGTAATTATTGTCAATTTTACCGTGTAACTTTTAACACTATACAATACATTTTTTAACAATATATAAACGAGCAAATACCAATTTTAATCTTACAAGTATTAACAAAATGACAATTTTAATCCACATGTTTAATTCATTTATTTTTGTCCCTAATTATTGAATTTTCAGCTTCAAAGAAGACTCTTTACAATAATATTCGTAACATTGATATTGGAATTTTTATTATTTAGTCTATAAGGCTATAGTTTTTCCTCTTGGGTGCCATCAGCAATGGTGATTCAAAGACGTGAAAGCATAACAGCGGTTTCAGTCAACTTCAAGATGGTGCAGGCATCGGGAAGCACAAAATAAATTATCATTCCTATTCTTTTGTGGTTAATTCTAATGATTTGAGGATTTTAGTGCCTTTTGGTAAGTGGGGTGTTATGATAATTACAGTGGTCATTTATAGTGATCGGGTTTCAGAAATACACCAACAGTGTTGATAACATGCACCAATAGTGTAATAAAACACACCACAGTGAAACACACCAATAATGTATTCCCGAACACTGTATGGTGTATTTATTCATATCTAATGGCGCGTTTTTGGTGATGCGTACCTTATTTGTGTATGCTTTTTGCTTTGCATTTCATAACATGAATGATGTATATTTGTATAACAATTGGTGCGGCCGCACTGACCACACGGGAAGGCGTTGCCGCACCTGAACTTAGCACCAATGAGAATCTACAAATACACCAGAGTAAAGCTAATAATACACAATTACACAAATAAAACACACAACAATGTAATTTTCCCTATTTCGGTGCTCTATGATGAGTTTACCCTTGCAATTCGCTGGGTAGAAGAACGTGCGCGAAAATATTAGAAGAATCTTGATTAATGTGATTCATTGGATCTATCTAATCTAATGGCCTGTAATTGACCATATGACCACACCTAATAACATGTCTGCACTTGATCTCCCCTCCCTCTCTCTCTCTCTCTCTCTCTCTCTCTCTCTCTCTCTCTATATATATATATATATATATATATATATATATATATATATATATATATATATATATATATATATATATATATATATATATATATATATATATAGGTGCAAATGAGAACCTTCGTTAAGATGCGGATACGCGCATCATTGTGCACCGTTGATCTTGTTCAATCTTGTGGTTTATATTGATTTTGACCTGGTAATATACATTACTACGCAACTGCACCATTCCTTAGATCTCGACCGTCCAATCTCACATCTTAACGGTGCATATATAGGAGTTCACAGGTTCATGATGTGAGCTAAGTTGTGCATCTTTAAAATATTAGAAATGTTTATAGTTTCATCTTTGTTTTTATTATCTAATATATATATAATAAAAATTTTATCAATATATCGCACAGATAATTGATATATTGGATATTAACTCTTATTTTATTCAAATTCAAATAAAGATATCGATCCAATATATTTTATGTATTAAATTATATAATATTCGTTGTTATAATTTATATAATTATATATTATATATCGAGTTAAACAATTTTAAAATATTATAACAAATCTATTCTGATAAAAAAGGGGTAAAAATACTATTGAATCTTAAATTAAAATCGTGATCCGTGAAAGAATAATGAATTCCTGAAAATGGCGGGACAGATATACGTGGAATCTATCGGGAGTGAGTCAGTAAAGTTGATTAAGTACGTGTCAGTGGCACGACTAAACAGTATGCCACAATCAAACGGCTGCTCTGCTCTGTTGTCCATTTCTTGGCAGCCCAAGGTTTTACCCTAAATCTGTGGTCAATTCCCACTGCATATATGTTAGCCCCACTTATCTAAAATCCATTTCAATTTCACCCCCTCCTCTTCAATTATTTTGGATTTTGATCACCTATACATTTCACATAAACAAATTTATTTTTATCGATATTGCTTATTTGCCTCCTACTTTAATAACTCTTCTCCCAAATGGTTGAATCCTTAACCCCAATGACCCTTACACACCGACCTGACAAATCATATAAGAGAATGTAAATTACGCTAATTCAGTGACTCAATAGATAAAATCAAATAACGATGCACATAATGAATTTGTCAATTTTGAGCATATTTCTCATATTGCTGTTGTCGAATTTCAAACATTGGTATCTTCGCTCAAATATGACTTACTGAATCAGTGAACTAACTCGTACGTGCACCTATTTTTGTAACTCAATCAAACCAATATATATCTTTAAACTATGATAAAATGTCATTAATTCAATACTTACTTCAACAAAAAGTATGTACCTGTATCGTTTGTTTTATTTTAGAATCAAGCTCCAATAACTTCAATTGTCTTTTTGGCATAATTATCAATTTCTTCCCTATTTTGTTACTTTTGTCACAATTTTTATCGTATTCACTTTCCCATCAAAACTGTTATAATTTTGATAACATTCGTGCCAATTACTGTTTTATTTAAAAACTTTACACTTAACACATTTTTTATTGACCTAAGACTACTACACAAACAATCTACAGACTACTCTAAAAATTACGGAGTACTATTTTTTTTTTTTTTTGAAAGTTACTGGCTCTATTACATTGTAGTATCTGTTCATATACTTTCTCAACCTATTGAAACACAAAGAACCAATAACGCCTCCACTGAGGCTCGAACTTATAATCTTCCAAATGGAAGTCCAACCCGGATACCATTGGACCACATAGTCCTGGTAAAAAATTACTATTTTAATTTTACATAATTTTCATATTAGTTTGTTAAAAATAATTTTTAATTAATTTTATTGAAACATTTAAAAAAAAATTTAAACACAATTTTATTTCTAATAAATGGAAAATTTTTAGCATGGATCATTAATTTGATAAAAATAATATAGAAATATTTAAAATGTCATATAAGTAACTTAGGTATAACGGTATAATTTTAACTTGTTTGAATGGTTAATTTCACCAAATTATTTTACTTTAGAAAAATATAAAATTGCCCTCCAAAAATAAAGTAAATGAAAACTATATGGTCAATAATAAAATTTGAATTCTTTATAGGCTGGATATGAAATATCTATAATTCTACGGGCCTACTGTGCAATTTCCTCAAACTTTATTGCTATAAATTAGCAGCCCGAGTGGAGCATAGGTTTGCCAAACCAAACTGCCCAAGGCGGCTTTTTCAGGATAAGAAACAGAAAATAAAAATTCTTTCTTATCTTCTTTTTCTCTCTCTCTCTCTTTCTCAGTAGCTGTTAAATCAACCAAAAATGGCGGCTTCTTCTAGGCGATCAACCGGACCGATTCTCCGATCACTCTCGCCGGCAGGTAGATTATACTCTTCCTCTAAGAAAACGTCGTCGTTTTCCAGCTCCGCTTCTGCTTTTGCCTCTTCGACATCAGGTTTTGCGGCGAGATCTTCGACTATTTTACGCAGGCCGATGTCTCCGACCCGAGTGAACGTTTATACCGCGAGGAATTCGGCTCCGACTTCGTCCGTACGCTTTTCGCTAGACCGGCCGATTTCTCCGAGCCGATCTATTTCTGTGGTAAATCGGGGCCGCGAGGTGGAGAAGGCTGGGAGTGGAGGCCGGAAGCGGACGTGTATGTGCTCGCCGACTACGCATCCTGGCTCGTTCCGGTGCAGCTTGCACAAGAATATGAACGTTTCCGGCGCCGGACACGCTCCGGCGGCGTCGGCCTACAATTCGCACCGGCTGAACATGAGGCGGTCCGCGATGACCAACTCGCTAGTCCGGATCGGGACTGTGGAAGGCGATCTAGTAAAGCGAGCCTTAGGCGCTCTGATTCGACCTTCGTCGCACCATCAGCGCCGCCGCGCCGGCTTCCAGCCAGGGCCTAGCCGGCTTTCCGTCATGTCAAAAGCATAGGATCCTTCGATATCTATATTCTCGACCTAAGGAGCGGTGGTGGCGTCAGCAACGGCTTTTTGACGTCATATTCAAGTCCACAAAACACTCCAGGACTTGGTGGTGGTCGAGACGGAACGGTTTTTTTGTGTACTCCGGTGGCCGAAACCCTAAGATCCGATGACTTTTTGTACATATGAAATTCAATTATAGAAGATAATTATAAATTATAATTTTGAAACAAAAAAAAAAAGTTTTGCTGTATGCAATTTCAAATTCAAGATTAAAAATGAATTTCCATCTAATTAAAACTAAAAAGTCCCACTCATACAAATCTCTTCAAAATTCTTTCATCTCCTTGTGCGTTTTACTCCTTATTTTAAAATTTAAATGGAATTTTAATGTGTAATCCGTAAATAGCATTTCCCCCCTATGTTCATTTATTATTTATTTTTATTTCTAAAAATTTTATCTTTATTTTGCAGGTAATTTTGCGTTGGACTGAAGGGAAAATATTTGATAAATGAGTGTGCTTGTCATTATCACAGTTCTGGACAACGAGGAATCAAGGATAGCTGATGTGAGTGTGGGCCATAGCAATTATGGACTGAAATTGAAAATAAAAGCGATAAAACCCACTTGATCCTGAAAATCCTTTATTATATAAAGCTATATAGTTTGGAAAATGATTAATGTTATAATCAATGCCACAACATCTTTTATTATTAAAAAAAAACACAACATTTAAAAAATAAAATAGTTATATATTATATAATCATATAAAAAATATAATTTTGAAAAATAAAATAATTACTCCGTATATATTATATAATCGTATAAAAAATGTGTTCAATTAGATTTTAAATTTATACATACAAAATTTGAAATTTGCTTTCCAAATGTAATTATCTTAGTTATTATTCGTATTGTGAAAATTATAGATGAAATATAATTAAAAATAAATCAATATAATTATGTAAATTATATCTCTATAAGTTTATTTGAATATGCACATAATTAGAGATTATATTAATCATACAAAATTTTAATTTTAATTTTAATTATAATTTTGTATTCTATAAAAATAATAAATATTTGACCAATAGAAGTTTACAAATATTATTATATTAAATAATTTAAAATATTTTAGTTTTTTATTTTTTATTTATATTTATAATAATATAATTTTGTTCCGTGCATCGCGCGGGTGAATTATTAGTGGAAATAAAAACGATAAAACCCACTTGATCATGGATGAAATAATTATGCTGCGTTTGGTTCAGATTATTTTAGATTACTTAGATAAGATCATTTTAGATTCAGATCATTTTAGATTACCTGGATAATGGTAACTGAGTCATTTTTTCAGATCATTTTAGATTCAGATCAAAATATTTTCTTAAAAATGAGTCATTTTTTCAAAAAAATATTTATCATAAGTAATTTTCCAGGTTTCTAAACACACCATAAAATTATTTTGTTATTTTAAATTAAATTTAAACCATTTAATGTGGATTAATACGGTTTGTGATATGCTACTATATCTACTTAATTATTTAATATGGTTTGTGATGTGCTACTGTGTCGGTTTATTTAGAATCGACATTGTTTATCATTATTAGGTCGAATTAATTAAAATTAATTTATAATTTGTTAATATTAAATTAAATTTATCATCCTTTATTATATTTAAGAATTTTTGTTATTAATTTTAAAAATTCACATAATATTATGTGTGTATGTGTGTATTTATTTTTTTTAATTTTTTTTTTTGTATTTTAGTTTTTTTTTTTATTGTAACGAGATAAAAGTTTTAATATTGATGGTGACATTGGACTGAGTTGTTATACCATGGATCAGGAAACGTCGTATAAATTGTGTATTTTTAATATTTGAATTGTGAATTTTTAGAATATAAATTGTGTTTCTAAGTCAAAACACATAACAATTGTAGAAGAGAATTTGTGAATATAAAACAAGGTCATCAAAAATCCTAATCTGTTAATATCATGTGACTGTCGTATTTGAAAGGAATTTGGAATACAAAACAAGGTAATCAATTATGTGACTGTCGTATTTGAAAAGGAACTTGGAATACAAAACAAAGTAATCAATTATCCTAATCCTAATATGTTAATATTATGTTACTGTCGTATTTGAAAGGAACAAGAAGTGCCTGCAAAACACTTTTAGCACTGAAAGGAAAAACTCCTTCATCAAACCGAACATGCCTGCATACATATATCTTGTTAGTCTATAAGTCCATACACCTATAGTCCTATACCCCTTAAATGACCCAGGATAGCCAAGAAAGACACAAGGAGAAGATATGTAAGACATTTTATGACGATTATAGGGACGTAGGTAAGGATAGCATAGACAGCCAAAGACACAAAGAAAAGAGTATGACGGAGGGAATTTATGTAACATTAAATGATGACTTGATTTATTTAACATAGTAGATGACATTTTGTTAATTAAATAAACCGCAGTTTCAAATGCATAATCTCAAAACTTAGGGGGAGCAGAAGCACGACTCTAGAGAGCTAAACCTGTTTCAACAATGTGTCTATGCTTTCTTTCAACACGACCATTTTGTTCATGAGTGTATGCACAAGATTGTCTATGAATAATGCCTAGTTGAGCCAATGTGGAATGTAACTTTTTATACTCAGCTCCTAGATCAGACTATATGGATTTAATCTTACGATTGAAGGATCGCTCAACCATAGCATGAAATTTATCAAAAATTGCATACATATAAGATATTTGTGCCATAGGAAAATACCAAGTGTAACGAGAGTAGTCAGCAACAAAAATAACGAAGTAACGATAGCCATTAGTAGAGAACATGGGAGCTGGTCTCCAAATGTATGTATAAACTAAATCAAGAATACACGAAGTAGAAGACTCAACATGTGGTAAAGAAAAATGTGTAGATTTCCCTAGTTGACATGCATTACACAGAACAGAATTACACCGAATAATATTTCTAGACCCACTAATCGAAAGAGACGAAAGAATCTAACTAAGAACACGATGGTGCGGATGACCCAAACGATCATGCCAGACTGACGCGAAGGCCCGAGCTGAAAGAAAGGCAGTAGGAGATGGACTTGGAATGGGAAGCTTGTAAAGCCCCCCATAGCTATTGCCCCATTGAAGAATTTCTTTGGTGTTGATATCCTTTACAACAAAAAATGATTGGTGAAACTCAAAAAATACTTTATTATCTGATCCAAATTTTTGGACTGATAATAAAGATGTAGACAAACTAGGAACATGAAGAATATTAGAAAATTGAAACGACCTAGAAGGGGTATTAAATATAGCATGACCAACACAACTAATAGATAAGCCCATACCGTCACCGAAACGTAATGTGTCATTACCATTATACTCCTCCGAGAAAGGGCAGCTATGTTTGGGGTAGCATGATTGGTTGCACATGTGTCTGGAAACCAAGTATGAAACCCCTGAGGATCTGAAGGAGATTCTTGATATAATATATTAACCTGAGGATCTTTGACATATCGGAGATAACACGTGACCGCAGTATGACCAAGCACCCTACACAATTGACATTTAGGCTGCCAATTACCATTCCTGCCGCCGCCACGTCGTCCACCGCCACCACTATACGACTGACCGGAGTGGCCGTTGTTCTGGACGGAGTTGCGACCGCCTCCACCACGAGACTGGCCGCCTTGCCCTCGCTGCTGTCCTCCACGTTGCGCCGTAAAGACTCCCGGCGAGCCACCGCCTAGACCGCGACTCGGCATAAACTCCTCCGCACCAAGAAGATCGGCGAGCTCCTAGAACGTTATTGGTTGGCAGCGAACATTGAAGGTGGACATGAGTCCCCGAAACTAAGGCTGTAACCCTCTGAGGATGTAAAGATTATGCTCCTCGAGGGAAGTCGGCCGGCCAGCAAGGGTAAGCTCCTCAATCAAAACCCTCGCTTTTCCGATGTAGTCGGCGACGGATGCATCTCCTTATTTAAGAGATTGCAGCTGGCCGAGTAGGTTCAAGTCGCGAGACCGGGACAACAATGCTAGGGAGCCGACGACGACGGTCCAAACTGCCCGGCTGGTGTAATGTCCGATGGCCAATGACATCACCTCATCGGATAATGACAATGTAAGCATGGATAAGAGGGCCTGATCCTGTCGAACCTAAGCTCGATGCACGGGATTCGGTTGTGCCGGCATACCGTCGTCACCGCCAGAAAGAAAAGCCAGCAATCATGGGTTCGTACCATCAATGAACCCCTTCAAATCATGACCATAAAAAAAAAGGAGCAACTTGGGCTCTCCAAAACATGAAGTTCTTGTATGTTAGTTTGATACTGATAAAGTGGTGAGCAGTGGACAAAGAATTCACGATCGATGTGACTGAAGAGATACCAATATTAGAAACAGTCTGTTCCGAAGATTCAACAAATCCGTCAGCCATCCATTTGAAAGAAACCCTAGCTTAACTGATACCAGATGAGACTGATAGAATTGTATTAAGTAATGTAATTATAAATGTACATATTGCAGGTTTATATAAAGAGAGAGTCACAAGGAGACTGGATAGGGAGTCCTAATCTGACTACACAGAGTCCTAATATTAAAAATGAGGATTTTTGTTTTTAATAATATTATTGATTGATTAGATTAATAGTAAAATAACGCCCTGTAATTTTAATCTAAGTTATTAATAACCGAATCTTTTTCATTTTTTTTTTTTTGCAAAAGTTTCTTTATATTCATATTCATTAGATTAATAGTAAAATAACCGGTGGAAATAATTTTAGAACATTATGGCTTCTCGAATTACAGATTCTTTTCCACTTTCCCTTTTTTACTGCTAATCTTATTAATATTAAGTGTTTGGACGAGAAGTTAAAATAGAGGATTTTGTTGTTAATAATAGTATAGAGTATAGATTATTAAGAGTGAGTTCTATTTTTGGTCTTGCTGTTATAGGGGCGTTTCCAATTTTAGTCTACCTTAATTTTTTTGCCACTTTATAACCACTATTATTGAATGTGTTTCACTTTTAGTCCCACCGTTAGTATTTTCATCAAGAGGCCGTGTAATCTAGGGGTATTCTGACCTGTAATTTTATTCTAAATTATAAATAACCGATTTTTTTTGCAACGTTTTTTCTTATATTCATATTCATTAGACTAATAGTACAATAACGCGTAGAAATAATTTTAGAACATTATGCCTTTTCAAATTATGGATTTTTTTTTC